AGCTGCTGGTGGTTTTGAACTGCCAACCATGAGACCAGTTGCAGCCACTACATTACCAAGGCTCACTAAATCCTAGAGAAAAAAAAGAAACTAGGCTTCCTTTATCTACTGTAGTTGGAGTTAGAAATTATGCAAGGCTAAGTATAAAGTATGCAATCATGTTAATGCTACAGTGGGAGAGCATGTCTGAGAACTGGAGTTGAGATAAGAAAAAAAACTTGAGTGACATCCTAACAAGCTTGAAGCCTGCTCTACTCCTAGACCTGTCATTTCCATATACTAGGACACTCCCTCTCTGCTGAAAACATTTAGAATTGGTGTTGCCTATCACTTGAAACTGAAATAGTTCTGATTTATGAATGGACAAACCTAGTTGAAAAAGCGAGTGTTAAGTTTCTTGATTGGTATTCGGAAATGTAGACCTAGTTATAGACCGTTAATCAATAGAAATAAACACTATTTTAATTTTCTTTTCATACTACAGACCTAGCATTCCCAAGCTTTTCATCTTTATCTTACATATAATTTAAAATAAGTACTATTTTCTAAATACATTTTTATATAAACTACATCTTTGCATATGTATTAGTTGATGCATTAGTTGTTATACTACTTATTCCCAAACTGAAAATTTTGTTAAAGAGAATTCTCACAATGATTTAAATAGTAATGACATAAATAAGAGAGGGCAAACCCTCAGACTTTACTATTAACACTGGTTGGATGAGACAGTTAATATCCCAAAACTAGTAGCTTTGATTGGTAAAACATGACCTAGACAAGTTGACGGTAAAAAAATAATAAATAAAAAGAAATCCATACCAGAGGATGTAGACTGTACAGATAGAACTGGAAACACAGGGAATCCAGGACAGATGAATCCTTCACGACCAGTGGTGAGGGTGGCGATACTGAGAGGGTGGAGGGAAGGTGGGATAGGAAGGGGGAACCGATGACAAGGATCTACATATAACCCCCCTCTAGGGGACGGACAACAGAAAAGTGGGTGAAGGGAGACATTGGACAGTATAAGACATGACAAAATAATAAGTTTATAAATTAGCAAGAGTTCATGAGGGAGGGGGCTGGGTAAGCAGGGGGAAAGATGAGGAGCTGACACCAAGGCCTCAAAGCATATGGTTTAAGAATGATGAGGGCAACAAATGTACAAATGTGCTTGACACAATGGATGGATGCATGGATTGTGATAAGAGTTGTACAAACCCCCAATAAAATGATTAAAAAGAAAAAAGAAATCCAACACACACACAAAGGGGCACAAACTCCAAAGTACATAAATTTTGCATAGAGACCAAAAACTTCTCAATTAATGGTGTACTATGCACATCCTCCAGTATACTTTAAATTATCTCTAGATTCCTTATAATATCTAAACAATGGAAATAAGGAGCCCATATGCTGCTGTGGACTAAACACTGGACTGCTAACCACAAAGTTGGTTGTTCTCAAAACCACAAGTCACTGCAGCAGAAAGATGAAGCTGTCGCCATAAATATTTAGTATCAGAAACCTTAAAGTAGCTATGAGTCGGAATCTATATGCTAATGGGTGGGAAGACCACATAAACAGAACTTTCTGCTCCCACTAGAGGGGCTGTTTTGACCACTTAATTGCCCCCCTCATTCAACCCTCAATGATGGTTCTCAACGTGTGGGTCGTGACCCCTATAGGGGGTCAAACGACCCTTTCATGGGGGTCGCCTGATTCATAACAGTAGCAAAATGACAGTTATAAAGTGGCAATAAAAATAATTTTAAGGTTGGGGGGTCACCACAACATGAGGAGCTGTATTAAAAGGTCGCGGCATTAGGAAGGTTGAGAACCACTGCTCTATGACAAAGTAGAACTGCCCCAGAGTTACCAAAGTCTTTACAGAAGTAAACTGCCTGCTACATCTTTCTCCTGTGGAGCAGTTGGTGGGTTCGAGCCACTGACCTTTCAGTTAGCAGCCAAATGTGTAACCACTGAGCCACCAGTATTCCCTAGAAGGTTTCCTAAAAGAATATAATTAAAAGGAAAAAAACTGTAGCAAAGAAAGAGAAAGAATCAAGAGACAATAAATCCTGGCTTTGTTAATACAAAGATATTTGCAGAAATTATTGCCCTATAGTTGGTGGTAACATGGAATCCTGGTGATGCAACGCTAAAGCAACAGGCTAACTGAAAGGTCAGCAGCTTGAACTCACCCAACAGCTCT